CCCCTACAGTCTGTTGTTTTCACAGCCCCTACAGACAGATGATAAACTGGTGTTCACCTTCTCTCCAAGAAATCTTGATGAACTTGATTATAAAAGTTCAGAAGGTTCTGAGGGCCAACAATAATGCAGACACATGCAGTTAAGAGCTAAAACTTCAGATCCTTAGACAAAAAGCCTTCACAGTTTTTGTCTCCGGCAAGTTTATTTTCATAGATCAGAAATCTCTACCTGCCTAACTGCAAGACTGTGGGCAATTCTTATTTTAATTCCATTCCCTCATAAAATATTCCTGAAGCAACATCCAGCTAAGCAACACAATACCACTAGTATTTGATTTACCCAATCTTCTCAACACCTGAAATAATGAATTGGCTAAAAATAATATGGAGAAAGGAAGCAGAGTCAAACTTCTAGGCGCTTACTTTTCTCTAGCCCGACGATTTTCTTCTGCTTGCAGTGCTGCTATTTTTTCCTTCCAAATCCGCACTTCTGCTCGTTCTTGGTATTGCATCTCCAGCTCCTCCTCAGCTTTCTTAAGTTGTTCATGGAGGATTTCATATTTTCCCTGCTCAGTTTGTGTCTGCCACATCTCAAGCCTTTAAAACAAAGCGTGAGCTGTTTTCACTGAAATACTGACATTCTTTCACTTAAGGCTACTGAGTAGGTAAGGCTCTATGGTGAAAACGAAAATCTAGCCATGTTTTATTTCATTTTTTAAAATGACATTGTAAATCATACCCTGTTAGTGACACAGGTATTGTACTTTTCAGCCTAAGGCTCATATCTAATATCGTGTCTCATTTTAAAGACATCAAAAGTATCAGTAAAAAAAAAAAAAGTAAAAAATAAAGCTCAAGATTCTGTTTCTCAAATCTGCATTTACCCAGAAGAAAATATGAAAACCGAGAAAAACAGCTTTTTTTTTTTTTCCAACAGTAAATAACTTCAGGGACAGGCCGTAGCTTTTATTCTTCTATGCTTTGCCGAAAGAATCTTGATATGATAGGGATACATAGAGATTAATATAGTTATTGCTAATCACACAATAAACAAGTCAAGCATTTTAAAGCTATTATACAACACTGCAGCAGAACATACTGTATTCTGTTAAGCACTTGGTTAATCACATCTATAAGGTTGTGCTTGTGTTCTTCCTCTGATGTAGTGGCACTAAGTAGTTGTACCTCTGGTGCCAAAATATAAACACACTTGCCTGTGGCCTTCTGCAAAAGACAGTTTTATTCTGTCTTATATAAATAAATAATTTAGGATGTGTTAACGATCCATTACAAGTAGCAATATTAACAGCATCAAAATGCGTGGTACCATGGCGATGTCTCCATCATTCTCAATTTCAATCTTTCCCTTTATGCCCTATAGAAACCACTGAGGCATAAATTAGAAGTATTTATGCTCATTCAGAGATCAGTATCACGGACAGGTTTACTTTAGTCCAGCTTGTTTTCCATTTAAAAGGAGACCTGTTTAGGTCCACACGTTATGCACAACCCCTAACAAAACTCAAATCTTCATTTATGTGTGCAGAAGTAACTCAGGGGCTGAGCCACTGCAACCAGTCTCCTCAGCAATGAACTGCTCAGGCTAAAAGTTGCTCTCAAGATCCTTTTGCAGTCAACCTCATGTGACTGCAAACGATGCAGTTCGGTATTTACAAGCAACTTATGTAGTAACTAAATCTGGAATCCATTAAACAGCATATGAAGAACGGAATATTAAGACTGACTCCCATCACAGTGTTTTCTCCTTCCCTCACTTACCTGTTGTCTTTTAGTGTCAAAGCAATTTTCAACTCAAAATCCTTCTCGTTCTCCAGTTCAGTGCACAGTCGTCTGCGCGTTGCCTGAAGGCGGGACAAGGCTGCACTGTTAACATTCAAAAGAAACAATTAGGAAGAAATTCAAACTGATAAAGGTTAAGAACAAACATTTCCCCCCCCCCCCCCC